GATCAAGTCGTTCGTTCATACTTCGCAACTCACATTCCTCGACCTGTACGTAACTATTAGGTTCTTATGTAGGTCGGCCTGCAGATGCGGACCAACCCGGAAATCAGCTCCTAGTCTACCTAGGTATACAGAATACATATATCAACTTAAAAGTCACGTAATAATTGCGTCAAAAGCTTTTGATCTGCATGTGCATGTACGTCTTGAACAAGAAGGTTACACACGGCCTTAACCGTCTACCCTAGCCGCTTATGAAAGGAGCTTATTTTTTGGGACCAATGGATGCTTTATTGCATACAACCTGAATACAATACATATTCATAATCATTCCTAGAGTCTATGTGATGGTGGTAAAAAGGTTTGAACATGCAAGGGAGCAAGTAATTTGGACAAGGCCAGCTAAAATCAATGTTCCTTTTGGTTTTTGCTGTAGCAATGACTCCGCCGTCTTTGAGAGCACCCAACCCAATGATAATCGGTCCAGGTAGTAAAATGATTAAATATTGTACATTGCTCATGCCACAAACTCCCCTTCTATGGTATTGCCTCCCCTCTTGGTTTATACGCGCAGCACCTTCGCGGCGAAGTTCTCGATCAGTTCCTCGGTGGGGAAGCTCATCTGTTCCAGGCCTTGGGCATACGGCGTGGGGACCTCGGCACCAGTGATTCGCTGCGCAGGGGCATCTAGGTAATCGAAAGCGTATTCCATAGTAGTGGCGAGGATTTCGGCACCCATACCAGCGAAGGGGAATCCGGACTCGACAGATATCAGACGGTGCGTCTTCTTGACCGACTTGACGATAGTCTCGACGTCAAGGGGCTTGACCGATCGCAAGTTAATGACTTCAACATCAATGCCGTATTTCTTCTTCAGAGCCTCGGCGGCGACCATGCACTGTCCGACGGTACGGGAGAGGGAGACTAGGGTGAGATCCTTGCCCTGACGTTCGATCTTGGCCTTGCCGAAGGGCAGGACGAAGTCATCTTTTTGCGCAGCCTCGGACATGGGGAAAGATACACCGTACATAAGCTCGTTCTCGAGGACGACAACGGGGTTAGGGTCGCGGATGGCAGCCTTCAGGAGACCCTTGGCATCTTCAGCTGACCAAGGAGAGACGACCTTAAGACCGGGAATCGAACCATACCAAGCGCTGTAGTCCTGGGAGTGCTGGGCGGCGACACCGGAGGCGAAACCGTTGGGTCCACGGAAGGTGATGTTGCAGGGCTGGATACCACCGGACATATAAAGGGTCTTGGCGGCGCTGTTGACGATCTGGTCGATAGCCTGCATGGCAAAGTTGAAGGTCATGAACTCGCACTACGAAAGATGTAGCACATTAGTTTCTTTTCTTCTCTTCTTCTATAACTCTACCCAATATAAGGATAAGGGTACTACTCACTATGGGAGCGAGACCACTCAATGCCGAACCAACGGCCAAACCGCAGAAACCACTTTCCGTAATGGGGGTATCGATGACTCTCTTCTCGCCGAAACGATCTAACAGACCCTTGGTAACCTTGTATGCGCCGTTGTACTGGGCAACCTCTTCGCCAATGACGAAGACCTTGGGGTTGGCCTCGAGCTCTTCGGCCATGGCCTCGTTAAGAGCATCGCGGACTGTGTACTCTTTGGTTCCTTTTACATCGGCAAACGTCCTCCGTTGCGAGATGGAAAAAGAAGCAGGGGCGACTCGGGAAAGAGCTCGGGGGCCGGCCACGGTGCGAGCAGAGGCAGCTAATCGAGCTGCCGGACGGAGGTAGCGCGACATGTTGATTGCCTTGATATAGGACGGACACTAAAAGGTTGTGGGAATTGAAATGGGAAGAAATGTAATTGATACAAGTCCGAACTCCCAGCCGACTTGAAGTTGGCCTGGTTGTCGTTAGGTGACGGTGAATATGGTGATTGAGATTACTTAGGGATGGAAGAGCGATTTTCTCCGTAAGCCGATTCAATTTTTTGGAGTTGCTATCAATTCGCGTTTGGTCTCCCAACTTTTTTTCTCGGATGGGATAGGAACACCTTGTTGAGGGTAAGATGGCCCGCTAAGCCTTATCGGGACTAGCTTGTGATACTTTTCCGAATTATCGGAGCTTGGGAATCTCCACGTCCCTGTATCTTGATATTCAAGTATCCATTACGGTAAATAGTCTTAAATGGTTATAAATCGTCTATGAATATGACCTTTAACTTCCCCAGTTTCTACTCTCTACGCATCTTGGATATTCTTCTCAGTAAAAAAGCATCTTGCGTACGAAATCAATTGACTTATCGAGCCAATATTGTGAGGCATCTCTGTGACTACGGAAGTCAATTGGGGAATTCCTCCGTTGGGGGTAATCCGTCCAGGTTAAAGGCTGACCATATTTATTGTGAGCATCGCAATGCAGCTAATGAATACCAAATAAATACTTAGACCAAAAATTGTGACCAGTGGATTTACATATAGAAGCTAAGCTTAGGAGGCTTCGTAAGGTCAAGAAACTTTCTCGAATTGCTCTATTTTGATAATGCTAGTGCTAGTATGTGACATGTAATAAAAGGGCTAATCTTTAGTACGGTATGCTTCAGTGTGATATATACAGAGAACTCAGAGCCATGGTCAACATCCAAATAAGATGCGGGGATTCCTCCTGGGGTAAGTGGCTCTGGTATCGTATTAATATTATTAGGTAGGCGTTGACGTTGCTTCTTCACTCATTACCGTGCGTATAAGCACGTCGGCGGTCCCCTGACATTGATCTTGGTCATTGCTCTGGCTTCTTGCCAACCATCAGATACATCGGCGTAAAGAGGTGCTTCTCTCCACCGGCGACCAAGCAGTCGGCCGCGCGAGCTAGACTGTCAGCCGTCTTCTTGGTGCCTGCTGGCGCCAATCTGGCCAGCTCCAAAGCACCTGCAAAATTGTGTGCCAGTAGACGACCCCACCACGTCATTCGTGCAATGGTGAACGAATCGAACACCGACTGCATGTACTTCCATTGGCCAGCGAGCGGCCAGTACCACGGAATAGGGTCGGGGCGGTCAGCAAGGTCTTCGTGGTGCTGTAGGTCGAACCCTGCGATCTTCATGGCTTCAATGCCCTCCGAGATCTTAACCATGTTGGAGATGCCATCACCCTGCTCGATTCCAAGACGGATCTCGCGGTGCTCGATGTTGTCGTTGTCGTATTCGTCAGTCATGAGCCATTCGTACACGCCAAAGACACCACCGGGCTTCAATACGCGGAAGATTTCGCTGTAGACACCCTCAAGCTTGGGGGCGTGTACCGTGGCCTCAATAGCGTAGACGGCATCGAAACTGTTGTCGGGGAAGTCCATTTGCTACGAGAATTAGATTAGTATATCTGAGTCGTACGCAGTTGAAAAATTTAATACTAGATAGAACTCACCATGAAATCACCCTTAACAAATGCCAATTGGTGCGACAGACCCTCCTTCGCGGCGTAAAGAGTGGCTCGTTGGATTTGGTAGTCGTTGTTGTTCAGGCCAGTAACATGGCAGCCGGTGAACTTGGCGATCTCCCGAGCAGGGCCACCGACACCGCAACCAACATCCAGCACCTTCATGCCTTCCTTGATTCCAATTTGGTGTGCGAGGTAGTGCTCGTGTCGAGAAATAGCCTGATAGAAGTTCTCACCGATAGAGTATCGGCAGAAATGGAAGGATTGGCCCCAGCCATATTCGTATAGATCCGTTGCAAGGTTGTAGTAACTAAATAAATGGAAAATTAGTATTAGTAGGAACGATATATAGTGTATGAGGTATGAGGTATGAGGCAGTGTTGTGGCATTCATACTGTCTGGTCAAGGTAGCGTATTCAGCTGTTCGCTTTGCGCGGTCTTCCTCTGTCTCGTCCTTGGCATCCTTGCTGTCCCAGTGCTTGAAGTACTCGTCGACAGCAGCCTTCTGCGCCTTGGAGTCCTTGCCAATGATAGCCCGGAACCCTCCAGTCGCCTGGGCAGAGTTGCCGTGCATGGCCTTGTTGAAGGCAGCATCACGCGCCCTATCCTGCTTCTCGAGCTCGATCTTGGAAGGCGCCATGTCGATTGATCAGGGAGAATGCGACAATTGACTTTGGTTATTTGTTGAGAACGCGTGCCAACTCGTGAATCAGTGACTAGAGTATCAAATTGGCAATTGGTAAAGTCGTTGTAGTTCTACGAAGAAGCAGCATAAAGAAAGGGGAGACATAGACAACAATTTATTATTTTTCTGTCGTTATCAACTATTGATTGCAGGGATCTAGACTTAGCTCAGGGACCTTTCCAATTTCTTGGACAATTTCATTCTAGAAATGGTCTAAGCTCAAGAGAGTTTCGACCAACCAGAATGTCCCGAACCTGCATTAGAGGAACTTGAGTTAAGCGGAGAACAGGGGGCGGCTTCAACCTTGGTTCCCTAAAGATTTCCCCTGAATCCGAATACGAACCCGATAAGCCACCTGAGAGGACGATAACGTGTGGCTTAGAAGCTACAAGTGGCTTGAAGTTTAATAGGGAATTCTAAATTTCCATTCGGATCACCATCGTGAAAACTTCCACTTCCACTACCCACGAAATGCAGAGACCGAATACGAGTTCGCATTCCTTATACTGTCGTGATATGAGTACTCTTCTCAAAGAAGAAGCCTCAACACAACCCCGTAAAACCTGTATCGCTTCACGATTAGGTAGATCCATGCTCTCTCTACATATCTCGCTAATGATCCTGTGAGAACAAGAAATCCGAACCCGAAAACGATACTACGTATGTAGGTAGGGTATTGATTTAACGACGTAGTCAGAGTAGCTGCAAGCTTGTTGATTATGATGGACGGTTGAAGAGTTTTAAATATGATTAGGTAAGAGCTTACATACCTACTTTCAAGTACTCAAGTCTCATGAAGGCTCCAACAAATCCGAACAAATCGAGAACAACATGATAATAAAATATTAAAAAAAAAGGCAAAAAAAGGGCAAAAAAAGGTTTGGTATAGAAGGAATTTAACCTCCTAATTTTGGACTCGCGGGGAATCGAACCCCGGACCACTCCCAAGCTAGACTACCTGCGCCCAACATTGTTGAGCTCATCGGCAGTCATATGATGCTAAGGGAGTATTATACCACTAAACCACGAGCCCTAGCTTACTGAGGAGCTTGTTACAGCAGATCTGATTCGTTGGGGAAGACGCTCTTTGACACTCTCTATATGGCAAGAGGGACGAAATTTGCCCTAATTAACCGATTGGTGTTTGCCTAGGTGCCGCTCAGACCAGGTCCACACACACACACTTCTGATGCCAAGACAAAAGAGAACCATCAAGCTCAAAACCTCAGAAGAACAATACTCACTCCTTTTGCATCTAATGGCATCATATGTCACAATTCGATTGTTTTAATGTTATTATCATGTCCAGTTCCTACATCCAGCACAGCAATTCATATTGTAGAAGCTCAGGGGTAAGAATGAGAGAGCTGATTTTCGCCCAAGGCGATGATGTGTACAATACGTACAAAGCTCCAATACCTCTCAATTCGGCAGCGTTGATGATCCCGCATGTCCTATTTGAGCTGCGGTTGAATCCCGTCACCATACCCACCTCCACTTCTTCACCAGTTCAACGTTATGTCCATCCGGCGTCTCGTCCGTTTTCCCTGTCACTACGGGGCCATCGCCTTGCTTGTCTAATTTCTGATTGCTAGCGAAGTACCAAGCACCTTGCCCTATGACTTGCACGACAACCACGGCAGAGAGAACGAGGCAGGCCAGGAAGGCATTTAGATAGAGAGGGGCATCCTGCGTTCGGAAGACTTGACTACCCGCAATGCCAGACGCATTAGCGCCCATTATGATCATCCTAATATCGCAGGTAAGTAAGAGGTTGGTACTACAGGACAGATACAGAGAGGGGGACCTACGCCATTGCAATACTTCGTTCTTGTGGACGTTGGCAATTCGCGCTTAACCAACCGATATTAAGAATGTGAATCGTAGAGTTCATTGCCATTGAGAAAACGACCGCGGCGTATTTTCTCCCGGCACTCCACTTCCATGCTTCTCGCAGGCATGCGAATGCGATTAAACTCCAGACAGCGCCAAACAATAACGCAGGAGTTCTTCGCTTCGTGATGTCGCATATCCAACCCAAGAGCACCACCACTACTGCCGAGATAAAAGGACCAACACTCGCCATCGCGTTGGCTCTCACCGTGCCATAGCCCAGACTCTTAATGACACTGGGACCGTAGGTATTGATTGCATTTACAGGAATCGACGCCGTTAACGTGATGACGATATGCATCAGGATCCTCGGGTTCTTGACCGTTGTCCAGACGTCGCTGCCCGAGATGTGCAGGTGATTCGTAGTCTTGGCCGGGTCGTCGAGTAGCACCCGACGCACCAAAATGTACGACTCGCGCCGGTTGAAGTACGACCATCGGCCGAAACTAATAAGCGGAGAACTGTTTCCAACCGATGGTGGAAGGAGGAGGATGAATATGACGCCAATCCCGATTGTGATACTTCCTTCAACTACGAGCAAGACGCATCCATGTTAGATCGTGGCACGGATCAAAATTGGGGTTCATTGGGTACGGCGAGATCTACCTATAAAGAGCCATCTCCAACCAGACACTCCGTGCCTATCTCCCATGCTGAGTATGCCAGCTCCAATGAGCGAAGTGGTAGCCAAGGCGATGAGGTTGCCTAGGAAGAAGATGGAGATTCGTAGACTGGACTCGGACTTCTTGTACCAAGTCGACATAGTGTAGAGTGCGCCAGGAATGAAGCCTGCCTCACACTACAAAGGCGGAAGTTAGTATCTCGGGCTGAAAATCAAAACTTGCATAGTTCACCCCACGTACCAAGCCGAGTAGCAGACGAGTCGCAAGGTAGCCGCCATAGTTCGTGATGAAGTTCTGGAAGGTAGCGACCAAGCCCCAGGCTACGATCTGGCCGGATAACCATCTCTGGGGCCCTACACGCTGAAGAAGAATATTCGAGGGAATCTCTAGAAGGACAATGCCAGTCGACAGAAGACTATTCCCCACGTTGATTTGGTTTGTGTCAACCCCTAGATCTTGAGTGATGGTACTTGTCAGAGCGTTTGCGATGTTCCCCCTGTCCATCTGAAGCGCGAAGAATGCCAACCCTAAGATAGGCAGCAATATGAAATCGATCCTAACGCCAGTCAGGACATCTGTGAGTATAGAGTAACTCAGCTCGGTTTTTTGTGGCCATGTCTTACTTCCGCTTAACTGCGCGCTCCTCTTCTCCAGTCCAATCTGCCGTGGTAGACTCGTCGACATTGACAGGGGCGACTTCTTCATCACTATGGCCAGTCTCGACGGCAGTGTCAAAGGCCTTTTCTAATGCCATACTGAAGATGCAACTTGACAATAATGACAGTAGATACGGTTATGAATTTCGTTGATTTTCCCGAGCGTGATAGGGATGAGTTTTAGGCATTGTAATATCTCAGTTCGTCATCAGCACTACTAGCCAATGAATTGGACACGAAGCCGACAAGCGCCGCGAGGTCCGGAACCCAATAGTATTCCTTTTACTGCTATCTTTTGTTATGCTATCTCTGCCTTGATTGCGCGGCGTTGGGTCGGTATCCTGCAAGCGGCGCTGACGTGCTCGGGGATTAAGTTGCGTGATCGTAACTACCTACCTAGGTACATAAACCTCTACCCAATGAGCTAGCTCGGAACGATTTCTGACCACGCATAATTCAAAAGACTGAATAATTAGCTGTAGACTGTTATATATTAATAAATACATCTTTCCGTGAATCTGTTTTGTGTAGTTACCTGTTTTCTTGCTCGTGGGGCGCCCCTATTTAGACCCTTTCCCATGGGTACAGTACTACATTGTGCGGCACCTTAGAAAAGTTTCAATTTACCATAGGCATATAATGCTATTAGTCCATCTCGAATGCCTAAAATCCTGTACCAAATTACACTATAACTAAGTACTCGAAGAGAATTATTAAGGTAGTCGTTTAGTAATGTGGCAAACAATTCCATGTTTACCCCCTGGCTATGTTTTTGGCTTCAGTAAGCGACCTACCAACTTAAAATCCTTCATTAACCACCTCTAAAGACATGAGCCTAGACGGAGGCCTCGCAAGAACTCGTATCATAAGCTACACAGGTGAGTATCGATCCATTGCTTTTCTTGATATAGTATCCACTAATCTACGCGGCTATTCGCTTCGTCCCCTACTCACTTGCGATTTATTCTCATTTACAGCCTCATATAGCTTAACACAGTAGTCCTTCAGGCAGCTGAGCGAGTCCTAAAGCCATACCGATATGACCGGGTCTCATAGCATACCTACAATATTCGTGAAAATATTACGGCTACTGTTCGTTAAATGAGCCTGAACAAATGGCTTTCTTGGCACCCAATCTCGTCTCATTCGTACTACTAACTATACTGTCGGGTTATCTGCTATCAGTCTCCAAGTCTTTTCTTTCTACCTTACGTACCTACGCCTTGGGATACCTAATGTATGATAATGACAGCAGCAGCGCAATATCTCTTATCATATTATCTCGAATCATGACATTGTGTGCGTTACCTATCACTTACCGTGCCTACGAAGTCAAAGACGTAAAGTTACTTCATTAAGCCATTATAATCAAAACTTAGACCCTTAAAATATGAGAGAGTGTCTGTAAATTCATTATAACTAAAATAAAACACGATTGAAAGAAGACAAACCTGACAGTTGCTCGCTCGTAGAATTCTAAGACACCTATCTACCTAGGCACCTAGGTACTGGGTAGGTAGTTGTTCATCCGGTCATCGCATGAACAATCCAGTGCTCCGGCGAGGCGACGGGATAGATCTGTAGTAACTCATGTCTGACCATTTCTCTGAGGCCCCTATGCTCGATACGATATCTTGCTTGTACCTCGTTTTGTGCCGCAGCACTGTTCCCGCTTATATTATTGGCCACTGCCGGATTTGCCCTCAACGTTCGCAATAACGTGACGATCAGCGTAGGGACATAATGCCATATCCCGCCTGATAAATTTTCAACATCGTCACTTGGTCCTCGAGGATGGGGGTTCGCTGGGGTGCCTGCGCCAAATGGTCCAAGCCCTGTATTATTTGGTGAATTGTTAATATGCCACATGATGATAGTCATCATACTGAATTGAGAAAAGGAGGGCGATAGTGTTATATATGCCAATCGTTCGACCTCATTGACAGCTTCAAGCCTAACTACACGAAGGTTGGTTGATATTGAATTGGCGACTCTCGGTGGCCACGCGTGGGTTATATTGGCCCAATACGCTCGTATGTCGAGCGACCGCTGAGCTGGGTTCACATCTACACTATCGTGGAAAGGCCACTATAACAACACAAGTTAGTAATTACATCTTCAGGAAAGAGTTTTGAGGGATGAAGCATGTCTTGTGAGTGATTGACTTCCAAATGAGCTCGGTCAGAGGTCTTGACTCCGGAGGAAAAAATAAATAGAAAGAGCGGAAAATGACTCCCGATGTTACTTACAAGATCGTACCAACTAGCTGTTTCATTCTGCAAATTGTTAGTATATCTCCAACGACAATATTAAAAGATGGTTTAGCCCCGTAGGACAATAGTTACGTACCTCACGATCCCATACCGTGACAGAGTAAATCATATTTAGGTCGGGACCTAATTTTATATTGTTACTATGTCGGTGCATGAATACAATATATCGATACCGGGGATCCCCAGGCTGCTGGCGTGCAGTGAAAGCTGAAATCCAATTTGCCGCGAGGTCTCTGTCTAAATGCGAGTTGCGGAATCCGTTAAGTTGAGCCTGCCCAACAGAAGCCGAGTAGGCAGCCCAGTTGAAAGCATGACCGGGATTAACTGGCACAGTAAAGAAATCTTTACAAATGTATACCCACTAAAATAAAGCCAATGTTAGCACTGAACTAAATATTTTCAGGTTTCGGGTCAAAGAAATGTACGTACCGGATCATCTCTGCTTAAGGGGTGACCGAGGTTGAAGGCATCTATAAATTAACCCACATATTAGCTTACGGTTCTCTTATGGTATTGTGCGTCTTACGACAAAAGAAAAAAAAGAAAAGAGTAAAATAATTTTACATATATCTTTACTTACTTAATGCT